GCTCTCACCCCCTCCACTGGGAACTCGTCCATCTCCACCTCGTCCTCGTGGGTTGGTGCCACCACACGGGCCAGGCTGGCGCTCAGAGCCGACAGTTTCTGCAGCAGGAAGAGACCGAGAAGGCGTCACACCCAGCCAGTGCTTTGGGGGTGGGAAAAGGGGCAGCCTCACAGAGGAAGACGATTTCTCAGAGCAGGAGCTCAAAAGACCTAGGGACCAGGCAGATATTCGGCCTCCTCCATGTGCTGCCCTGCCCTGCCGTCCCCCGCCACGCAGGGGAGAGGCCAGCGGCCCCTGAGGCCACGCACAGCTCCTCCCTTGGCCAGCCCATGGGGACAAGGACTTTGGGACCAGCCCCCTCCACCACACAGGGACGAAGCGCCCCACGCCAGGAGGAGGCCTGTGGTCAGGACACCAAGGCCACGCAGGGTCCTCCCACGGACCACGGTGATGGCAGCGTCCCTCACCTCCAGGTAGCTCTCCGAATCCATGGCGTACTCCTTGCCCTCTGCAGGCTTCAGCTCAACATCAGCCTGGCCATCGATCTGGGGAGAAAGAGAAAGGTGGGGAGGCAGCTCCCAAACCCAGAGCCCCCAAACATCCGCCCCTCCAACACGGGCCCGCTTCCCACCATCCACACCGGGTGGTCCCTCTGGGCTCGGGCCAGCGTGGCACACCCCCGGGGCAGGCGGTGACCTCACCTTGGGGGGGTAGAGCAGGTTGAGGGAGTGGTAGAGGCGAAAGTTGACAAAGCCCAGCAGGGTGGTGTAAAACTCGGTGAAGGTGGCCATCACACGGTAATCCACATCTGTGGGGTGCTGCAGGCACACGGGAAGGGTGAGGACACACGGACAAAGGACCAGAGTCCCCTCTGCAGGGACAGGAGCCCTTCCCATCTGCACAGGGAGGAGGACCCTGCCCCCTTCACAGCAAGGTCTGGAGATCCATGGCCACTGCCAGACCCTGGGCAGGGAGAGCTCTGCAGGTTGCCGCACAAGTCCCTGCTGCCACCCCTCCGCGAAGGGACCTGCTCAGACAGATGGAGCACCTCATCCCATCACGGATGGGGACCTGGGTGACTTGGTCCAGGGACTCTGCTCCTCTAGGCGAGAAGCGCAGAGCACGGCAGAGCAGGACAAGGAGCTAAACCCAGCAGGGACCCAGTCAGCCCCACAACAGCCAGAACTCAAGGGAGTGAGTCGGGAAGGAAGGAAGGACGTGGGTTGGCCGAGGAGATGCTGCAGGGCTGAGCTGGGATGAGCCAGCCCCAGGACATGCCAAAGGCCATAAGGCCAGAAAGCCTCAACCCAACTGTGCCAAGCTCTGGAAAGCCCCGGCGTGGGACGAGAGGGCACTGCCGTGGCGGTGAACTCCTGCCTGCCAAGGGTCTCGGCAAGGTGCAGCACGGCCACACGGCTGTCCTGGCACGGTGGCACCCACAGCTGTCCCCTTGCCCTGCTGCCTGCCCAGACCGAGCAAGGATGCAGCAGAATCACCCTGGCAGAGGGTGCAGGGTCTGACTCAGCTCTTCCCGAAGTCCTACCAGCCTCATTCCTGCAGGTTAATCTTTAATTGCTGACTAAGGCATATTTTAATAATTGACAAGAGGAAATAAAGAACCGCCGAGACTGGTACAGCCAGCCACAGGGGACACGGGTACCCATCCCGGGGGGGGGGCAGAAGAGGGTTGTGTCCCCACATGCCTCCCGAGCCAGGCCCCATGGTCTCCACCACAGGCTGGGCACAGCCTCCCCTGCCTCTGCAGCACGAGAGCCACCGGAGGGGCCCTCAACCCTTCCCCGGCCCCAGGGACTGGAGCGGCGAGGGTCCCACATGGATCCTGCCGCGCTCTTCCCAGGTACTCACGTCGTGGGCGAAGGCGTAAGGGGTGATCCAGGTGACGGGCTGCCCCAGCACCTCGGCCTGGTAGTAGATGCCCTTGATGGAGAGGAAGACCTGGCAGGGAACAGAACGAGGGCTCAGGGGGAGGAAGGCCACGGGTGCTCCCTTGTCCCCGTCCTTATTAACCCTTCTGCCGTCAGCAGGTTCATCAGGGGAGTGTCGCAGACAGCCCGGCAGACTCGTTCCCCACCTGAAGGTGCCAGCACAGCTGGCCCGGTGCCCTGCTCGGGCACATCCACCGCCCCCACCTCCAAGGAAATTCCAGAGAGCAAAACCCCGTCCCTCCCGCCAGCGCCCACCTTCCGCAGGGAGCGGGAGGCGATGATGTAGTTGAGGAACTCCACGGTCAGGCGCCGGCAGAGCTGGATGGTCTGGACGTGGCACTTGCCCGTCCGTGGGAAGGTGGAGAAGAGGAAGCACATGGAGAGGGCATCGTCCAGGTCCCGCAGCGCATCTACGAAGGTCGGGTACCTGTGCCCGGGCAGGGGGAGAAGGGGGAGTCACACCCAGCCCCAGCGTCCACCAAAGAAAGGAACAGGCACCGTGGAGCATCCGTCTCCTGCACGTCCCACCAGAGCTGGTGACCCACAGGGCCGGGGCGTCCCTCCTGGGCACCAAGGAGCCCGCGGTCACAAAGCTCCCGAGGTTCAGGGCTCTCCAGGGAGCCAGGAACCTCCCTGGCGAGGGGATGGGGCAACATCCCTGATCACAGGGTGGGTGTAAACAGGTTTTAGGGAGCCCCCAGGGACTGTGCGTGGGGGGAATCCCAGCCTGGACCCCCTCAGAGGCCAGCGGGCCTGGGGCCTGCGGTGTAGCCCACGGGGCTCCTCGGCCAGACCGAAGCTGCAGGACTCAAACGCTGCAGCCGGAGGGCAACCGCACGGCCCCACGGCTCCAGCAGCACCGCGGCCACCCACCAGGCCACCAGTGCCCAGGCCACCAGCGCCCAGGCCACCTCCCCTCCTCAGCACGGAGCTTGTGAGGGCAGCGTCCGTCTCTCGGTGCCGTTTTAGCCTCTGCACCAGCACAGCGACGCCCCAGGTGCCACCGGGACAAGGAAGAGACCCGTCAGAGCAGGCTCCCACCCTCCTGGGTCCTCTCCTCTCTCACTGCCACCACATTCACCAACTCCATTGGCACGATTCACCCTCTGCCAGCCCCTCCCTCCGAGGAAAACACGGCTCAGGGAGGGAAGGAGAGCTCTCAGGGTCTTCCCGGAGCCATCGAGGACGGCCGGGCACCCGCTGCTCACTCGTGCTTCGCTACAGCCAGCAAGCAGCACGCTGCGGCCTTCTCCTCCAGGTCAGAAACACCGGTTTCCATCAACCCCCCCCAAATATACACAGGAGGTGGATTCCTGAAGAGGGACGGACACGGCAAAGGCTCCACCGGTGCGGGTGGCTGCAGGGAAAGCTCCTCCCAAAGGAGGACGGCTCTGCTGGGCCTCGGCCAGCGGCTCACCTCTCCTTCACGATGTGGTCGAGCTTGTAGCTGGGCTTGTTGTCCTTCAGGCGGTCGACGGTGCTCCACTCGCTCTTCCCGTACGCCTTCCGGAGCTTCCGGACAAACACCTGCGGGGAGAGGGGGAGGCCGGGGGCTCTGCAGGAGAGGACAAGCCCCGAGCGGCCCCCTGGGCACCACCCGGGGGGGTCTCGTGCAGGACAATGACCTTATACTCGCGGAACTTGTTGACTATGGGCTCATGAAGGAGGAATTTGATGTCCTTGAGGAGGTAGAAGGTCCTGGCTGCGGTGGAGCCTTTGTTCACCTTCTTCTTGTGCTTGGGCTCGTGGGGGTAAATCCCTTTCAAGATGCAGAGGCGCCTGGTGACGGCGGCGAGGGTCAGACACGCAGC